AAATCAGCATTACACAGGTCTCTCATATTTGGAGACAGTCATATTTATGGAATTTAAAATCAAAATCTTATGTAACCGTTCTTTTTAGCCTAGTGGGAAATACAGTACATGCAAGTAAAGTATTTGATTAAAACTATTCTCAGTCATGTTATTTGTGTCTTTAAGTTCTTTCAAGGACCACAGGAAAAACTGAATCTACCTCTATCTATCATTAAGCAGCTTGAGAATGCGTAAAATAGTTTCCTTGAGAGGCTTTCATACCTGTTCATGTGTAGAAATAGCTTCCTGAACAGCTTTGAAATGCACTCACTGACTCATGAGAAATAAATCTGCACGAGAAGAGGTACTTGTCCAGTATACTACAATCTGCATTCTATACCGCCCATGTAAAGCACGCTTCACTCTTTGTGTGCACTTCTCATTTGGTAGTTATTAAATTTTGAAGAACCCAGAAAGTTGCACTGTAGAGTAAACCTTGTGAGGAATTTCTATAAGATCTGCTGTCACCAAACTAAATAAAATAGTGCATGAAATGAAAAATTAAACATCTTATTTTTCTCCTCATACTGATCAAAGTTTTTTATTATTTCATTTTTTGAATTATTATGATTAAAATGAATAAATATGGCTTTTAGTGTTTGAGTTTGATACTAAGGAATAGACTCAGTACTCAACACAGATTCTAATAAAAGACAATCTTTATTTAGACAACAGAATGTGATTTTCGATATTAAATCATAGTCATCCAGATATGTTCCATAGTGATCCATCGGCATATACTTGTCTATGTGCTCTTATACCACCCGTACAGCACAAACTCATTCTAAAGCTATTCAAGAAAGATTAATTTCTGTCCTGCAAATGTGATTTTTTAATATTGATACCTGCTCAAATTAGTATCTAGTTTCAGTACTAATTTTAGTATCAATTAGTATTTGATTTTTGATCCCTAATGGCTTTCAACCTTAATTTGGTAACATCTCCATGGAGACAACCAGATGGCAGACCCCCCACCAGAACAGCTACATAGTGCACCTTCAAATACTTCAGTGATAACATGGTATTTCTACTTGTAAGATAATATTAAAATGGATTTGGTTTTGTTTACATTGCATAAATAACTACAAATTTTTACAACTAGTGGGGACTTTCTCCATGCTGGTAGTGTTGTTGTCTATTGCATTTGTAGTTTTAATGCACCTAGGTGAACAGATTGAAAGTGTGACCAGTATTAAGTTAGAGGCATTCACCTGATTAGGGACCTCCTCCAGGGTGGGTCCTTGTGCCCCCCCTTGTCTCCCATTTCAAACCTTTCTGTAGCCTGAATAATTGCATTTCAAATTAATTCCTTGTCTAAACCCATCTGATGCCCAAGTGAGGATGCGCCTCTCCACTGGCCCATGGGGAACAGAAAACACCTGCGCTCACTTTGCCTGGTATACGCACCGAAATTGCACCCCAGTCTTCAATCTACCTTCCCTGTCAATGATAATACTTTGAGTTATAGAGACAAATAGGTATTGCTCTGACTTTGCAGCACCAGGCAGCTCCGGCTCCTCTGAGACAGTTTTGTTCCCAGATAAACTAAAAGGAGGATTTGCAACACTTTGGAAACACAGGTTGGGAAGATGAAAGAGAAGGAAAAAAATAATGCTTTATAAAACTTTTTTTCTGAGAGGGAGGACAGTTGTGTATAATGATTTAAGTGTTGCAATATCTCTAAATATTTGGTGCTGTTAAGGTGGTGAGCAAGGTCACAAGAAATCATAAGATGTGGAATAAACAGGAGATTTAATATTACATAAAACCTCTTAAGTTTTAGCATTTAGTATTAGCCATTCAAAGTGCAATATTTATTAAGGACCACATTAAATGGACATCAGACAGAAAACAACATGTAATTCATTTGATTTAAAGGAGCACTCTGACTTTTCTAGTGGAATGTTCCCCACTTGCCTGTCTCTATGGAGATGTTTTGTTACTTGGTTTTATTGCTCAGAACAACAAACAGGGTTGCTCAGAGTAGGAATCAATGGTGTTGCCTGCTTGTTTTTAAGAAGGTAAACAATTCCATACTGAAGAGCATTCTAGGGAAATATAATATAACTTCTCAACTGAGACAAGCTGGTAATGGACCTTAAACCAGAAAAGAGGAAAACTAGTACCATACTTGTACTAGTTTTTCAAAAAAGTCCCTCACTCCAAATAAAGTTTGGAGTGAGGGACTGGTGAAAGGCGGGGATGGAGAACACAGTTTCATGGGAACCGGGAGGGTGTGCCAAGCAACTTTCTTGGAAGTCATTGGATGGATCAACAAAACATGGACTTCAGTGACAACCAAAACCATCCTGTCGGGATTCAGAAAGGCTGGCATAATTCTAACTGGAACTGATGCTGAGTCTGACGACAGCTATGCAGAAGAGGAAGCGGTGCTCCGTTTACCTCCAGAGGTGGCGGAATTGCTCAGAAGTGACGCCAAGGATAAAGAATTCAATGGATTTCATGATTTGGAGTGAGATGGAGAGCTTGGTAAACTTGTTATGTATGTTGAATAACTCTTAATATGTTATGTTAACAGCTTGTTGTTCTCTGTTCTATTGTTATTACTATAACTTGCTTTTCAAGATGAATTGTCAGTTCCTGGTCTCAGATTTTATAATGTAAATCTCCCCCAAAAAGTGTGACTTATGTTTTTTCTTCTTCATTACACATTTTTTGGCTGGTGAGACTTATACTCCAGAGTGACATATAGTCAGAAAAATACGGTATGTGACTGCATTGTCTGAATAAACAATAATTTGATTTAAAATATCATAAGTAAAGCATAGTCAGTAGTCACTACAACACGTGAAGATTCATATGAAATGCAAATGCTAATTAAGGGGAAGGTTAGGATTTATTGTCCCTGTAGTAGCAACCATCCCTCAAGGGCAACCTGTCAAAAGCTGTGAGCGTCATGGTACGGCAGGTCAGGACTACCTCAGCTGGAGGATAGGACCAATTGTGCATGTTTTGGGTTGATGGATGGGGGAAACCAGAGTGCCAGGATGAAACCCACTCAGACGCAGGGAGAAACATGCAAACTCTGCACAGAAAGGCTCATGACTGAAGGGATTGAACACGTTTTTCTTACTGTGAGGTGAGTGTCAGCCACCGTACCACCTAATGTTTTGTCTGCAGTTCTTTAACTTGTTTCAGTAACATCTAAGTATCACTACACACTGCGACGCCACACGGAGCGAAGCCAGAATAAGATTACAGAGGTGTACGAGTCCACTGCTGATCACTTTCACAGCTTGAAACACATCTGTTGTTTACTGTGCATTTCACATCCAACGCCTTTCTTTGAAGAGCATCCTGTGTGGAGGATTTCTGTCTGAAAACATTCAAAAAGGCACGCCAAATACATGCAAATGCTATGTTAATCTATCTGAAGAGACTGAGCCGCTCATCTTTTCAACTTATTCCTTTGCCGTGTCACGTGAGATGGGGAATTATTTATATTTGTGAAAGCAAAGATATAAGCAGCATATTCTGTACGCACATATAGTGAACTGAAAATGGGATGTGAAGTGAAATGTGGTGTTCATTGTGTCCTCAGTTGTGGGTTATTATGAGCTCCTTGTTTGTGTGGGCGTACTGCAGTCTTTAATGAGGTAAGAGGAGAACAGGTATTTAGATTACATTTAGATTGACAAAGAGCTGCAGGCGTTAATTCTTAAACTAGACTTTAGTAACTTGAGTATTATCTAACACTGAGCTGTCAAAAATGTCTGCAAATGATTTTAAGAATGGGAAATATAAAAAGTGTATTTGTTTTTATGGCAAGAAGGTAGGAAAATATTGTAGTCAAGATCACTGTTACAGTGGTAGTAAAAAAGTAAAAAAAAAAAAAAGTACAAATCGGGAACAGTACATTTTAAGTGAAGTTAGTGATCCCCACATCAGCGCAGACTTGTGACCTTTCATATAGGAGGCTGAAAGTGTAGGCAGATATTCTAAATGAACTGAATGCAGCCTCACTTTGCATGACCTTAATAATAATAATAATCTTAACATTAGGTGGTTGAATGTGTAGAGTGAATCAAATAAAGAATTCTTATCTGATCTTTACAATACTATTACTTTAAAATAATATTGTACTACAAGTAGTAATAGTAGATGCAGAGGTGGGACCAAGTCATCATTTTGCAAGTCTCAAGTAAGTCTCAAGTCTTTGATCTCAAGTTCAAGTCAAGTTCCAAGTCAAATACAAGCAAGTCCAAGTAGAGTTTTGAGTCACTGGCCCATAAGTCCAAGTCAAGTCCAAGTCATCTGCTTTGAGCTTCAAGTCATTTCAAGTCTTTAAACCAAAGTACAAAATATATTAGATTTTTGCAATTTATAAGAATTTTAAGATAAAATGTTCTTATAAAGTCATAGTATATTTATATGTGAGTATTTACAGAGTATGTAAGAGTTGTAGAAATGTAGAAATGTTTTCCTTTTTAAATGTCTTGACAAGATCTTAGAGTGAATCATTAAAGTCAGAATAGAAAGAATTTAGATTTAAAAGTGCTTCTCAAGTCTTCTCAAGTCACAGGCCTCAAGTCCGAGTCAAGATCCAAGTCACTGACCTTCAAGTCCAAGTCGAGTCCCAAATCTTAGACCATTTAATCAAGTCAAGTCTCAAGTCCTAAAAATAGTGACTCAAGTCTGACTCGAGTCTGACTCAAGTCTAAGTCACGACTTGCAAGTCCCGACCTCTGGTATGGTGTGATAAATTAACCAACTGAATATGCAATAACTTATAGGAATCTTTGAAATTTTAAATCACCTCAACACAATTTCAGACAAGCAAGCGACTTAATCACACCAAGTCACAATTTCTTGGTGGAAAAAATCCTGGATATATTGACATCCAGAAAAGACATTTTAGCTACAAGTCAAGCTCCCTTGAGTAAAGAAACCAGTATTGAAATAGTGTGAGCAAATATAATTATTGTAATGATGAGCCTTACACAGTGATTTGGAGGGGCTGGGGGTACCTTTGATGTTGGTGGGTGCTGTCAGACCAGGAAAAAACTGAGGACAGGACCAGCTCTGAGAGAGACCAGGCGCTTGTTCAGTCCACCAGGGGAAAGCTGCAATGAAAAAAACAACAAAGGAAATGAAAAACCCTGCTGACAATGCACTGGTAATATAGGGCTCTTATGTAATGTAGTGTAGCATTGCTGTGGGCTGGCACGCACTGTATACAATTGCAAACACATGGAGGTACTGTAGCTTTATTGTTTACTCAAGCACGCAACACACGCAAGTTTAGGCAGACCCAACCCTGTGATAATTAGTGTGGAAGGACATCAGATGTAAATGACAAATTAATATACAAATGACTACAAATAAGGCTGCAAATGAAAGACTGTGAAGAATTCATTAAAGGGCCCATATTCCTCTATTTTCTGATCTATGCTATAATGTTGTTTCTTCTTCAAAAACATATCTGAAGTTGTGTTTTGTTTCATTCACACATGTTTAGCACACAAAGTCTACATATTTAGGCTGAGTTCTCAAACAGAAAACAATCTGTTCCATCTTTTGATGTCATGTAGTAATACAGGAAGTGCTCCACTGCGATTTTAAGCTCCATTCACCTTCACTCAAATCATTTGAATGATTTCAGCCCTGGAATTGCCAGTCTCTATTGAACAAAAGGTAAAGGGTAGCTGTTAACTTGAAAACTACTGTTTAATGACATCAAAAGGTAGAAGAGAGTATTTTGAGATTTGTAGACCGACTAATAATAAAGTGTTACTCAATCATGTGTGAATGAGACAAAAACTCTAGGTATGTTTTTGAGGACATAACATTATAACATGTCTTAAAAATCACAAGAGTCAATTTTGCATAATATAGGACCTTTAACAAAAGTCAAAATCAAACGAGATTACATAACTACTATATTGTTGGTATAAGGGTACTACACCTTGAGGAATTGCACAATTAAGTTTTAATATAAGATTTCATTTGAATTCTGTGATTGAAGGTACACCTGTGTGTGTTCACTTTCTGCCACTACAAGTGTAACTACACAGTCATCACGTAAACATTCTTGCTGGAACTGTGAGTGCTGCGCTTTACTTTATTACAAGTTTTGTTTACTGTTTACAATAAATTAATTTTTTTATCATATTTCATACATTTGTTGTTTAATTCTGAATATTTTATTTAACTTATTAATGTTACCTAGCAGTACTTTGCATTTATTTTATTTTTCCATTTGTATAAGAAAAACAAATTGCTGCGCACATTTTCTTTCCATACTGTACCGAAAATGAACCAAACCGTGACCTCAAAACCGAGATACCTACAGAACCATGATTTTTATGTACTGTTACAATCCTACAAAAAATAACCAAAAATTTCTCAGTAGTGCAAAGAAAATGTACACACGATAAATACTGATCTCCAAAAATATTGTTTCAGCTTTCATATATTGAACTATAACTGGATATAGTAATCATCGTGATAGGCCTATCATCATTTCAAAACTTGTTATTGTGACAGACCCACCAAACTGCCGATTTTCTACTATAAACATATGTCTACCTGACCTGAGCTGCAGCACTGACAGCCTGTGAAATGTAGACATCACAAACATAGATATGGAGGAGACCTATGTCCAGCACCGCACTGCAAATTGGTTTTGATGCTGGGTGCCATGGGATGAATCGGGGCCATATGAGCCAACCTTTGATGGAGAGGAAACAAACCCTGGCAGCAGAGACACATGAGCCTTGAAGATGATGTAACCAGCCTTCAAACATACCCAGCTCCACACGCAAAAGGCTTCATCTTTCCTACAAATTGCCTCATTCTGTAAGTGGTGTTTTGACAGCCTGGCAAAATTAACAGTAAATTAATAAATAATGTTGCAAATGAGTTCATCAGCAGTTTGCTTAAAATGCGTAAACAAATGTGACTGTGAAGTAGATTTGATATGGTTGAAGTTGAAACTGAACAAAGTATTTCAAGCCGTATTAAAACATGTAATTTGAGACTGGATCTTTTCTCTATAAATTTGAATGGGCGTGACTGTCAGGCAGACTAGAGTGGAGAAACGCATGGTTTGTTTGTGCCAAAACAAGCATGATGAATTATGGGTAAGAAAGAAAAAAGAGAGGAGAGGAACGAGGCAGACTTAAATTGAACAGGTGAATTCTTGGCTTGGTTCACATCCACAACAAAATCTGGTTTCTGGAACTGTAGGATTAAAATTACATGTACACTGAAAAATTTAAAGTGAGGAATCAAAAGAACCATGATCAAAAAGAAACTGGATGATTTGGCTTTTTATATGTAACTTCATTTATTTATTTATTTTTTTTATGTTACAGCTCCAAAAATGTGTTATTAAAGGTGCATTATGTGACTTTTTGGTAGGGGGTCCGTAACCTGTTTTTTTCAATGGATATGTCATTGCTCTGCCTGGAATGTTCCACACTATGACATTAAACAGCAGTACTTTACATTTATTAAATTAGAGTTGCTTTTATATAGTGCAAAAATACCTACAAAAATAGTTCTGACTGTGAGCGTGGTCGCCTCTCCACAGATCTGACCTGTAACTTGGTCTGATTTGGTCTCCAAGAAGACAAAGGTTTAATACTAGGGATGGAACGATATCCAAATCTCACAGTATGATATTTATTGAGTTATTTTGAAAAGGCTAATAAAATTGTAGATGGGAAACTTTTCTGCTTATAAAATACCTTGACAAGTTTTTGGTGTTAATTATTTCTGTCATAATCCCCAAAATTCTAGTAAAAAAACATATTTCTTCACATTGTCTGCCCTGAAATGAATCATGGGATATGTAGTTCCATATGTTCATAAGCTGTTGCTTTTATAAATTCATACATTTAAGCAAAGGAACTTAATTCGATATATTGTGACAGGCCATGACATTATTGTGAGACTTTTGAGAATACTATATCATGATATTTCTGTTATTGTTATATCCCTATTTAATGGGTGAAAAAATGCATAGCACACTCGGTTGGCCGATGTCCAAATACTATTTTATTAACAAAATAACGTTTCGGCAAAAAAAGCCTTCATCAGATATTTTTTGTCTTGGACCACAGCACACAAAATGGTTGCCAGCCCAGGTGCTCAATGAATGGGAGGTCCCAAAGTGAGGTCACCCAGTGAGTTCAGCCCATTCTACAACAAGAAACAACAGTTTACATAAAAAAACATTTTATAAAATACAGAAATAGTTTGTCTATCACAAAAAACATCTTAAATCAAACTCCACATTCAGTCCATGAGGAGTAAGAGTTTTAAGATGGTGAATCCAGAAGTGCTCTCTTTTTGACAGGAGCATCTCTAGATTACCACCTCTAGGGGGCAGTTCCACATGTTCAATGCCAATATATCTTAAGGAAGAGATAGGATGGTTAAAATCAACAAAATGAGCTGCCACAGGATAGTTCATGTTTTTACATCTGATTGTACTCCTATGTTCTGCAATCCGTGTTTTTAAAGCCCTGCTGGTTTTACCCACATAAGCTTTACCACAGGGGCAGGTCCTATCCTGTGGCGGCTCATTTTGTTGATTTTAACCATCCTATCTCTTCCATAAGATATATTGGCATTGAACATGTGGAACTGCCCCCTAGAGGTGGTAATCTAGAGATGCTCCTGTCAAAAAGAGAGCACTTCTGGATTCACCATCTTAAAACTCTTACTCCTCATGGACTGAATGTGGAGTTTGATTTAAGATGTTTTTTGTGATAGACAAACTATTTCTGTATTTTATAAAATGTTTTTTTATGTAAACTGTTGTTTCTTGTTGTAGAATGGGCTGAACTCACTGGGTGACCTCACTTTGGGACCTCCCATTCATTGAGCACCTGGGCTGGCAACCATTTTGTGTGCTGTGGTCCAAGACAAAAAATATCTGATGAAGGCTTTTTTTGCCGAAACGTTATTTTGTTAATAAAATAGTATTTGGACATCGGCCAACCGAGTGTGCTATGCATTTTTTCACCCTGATCTGGCTACTCCTTGCATTTGCACCTCTGCAGGAATCTTGGTGTGCGTTTTCTGTTTCTTTTTATATCCCTATTTAATACCATACTCCCTATTCCAGACAAAGCAAAAACATCTCCATGAAGAAAAGCATTTGATGGACCGTCCACTACAAAAGTTAAACAATCAACCTTTAATCATAATTTGAGTGCACATGTAACTGTAGCCACTGTTAAATAAACTGCTGTAATTGCATTGTCAAATGGAAAAATGGTTTGCTGTGAGCTCAGTATCCAGTATTAAAGAAAGGAGGACATACTGGCTGGCCAAGTTACCAGAGTACATAAATTCTAAAAGTAAACTGGAATACAAAAAAGGCACAGATAGAAATCCAAAATAAGAAACTAAACCAAGATTAACTTTCAAAAATATTTCTCTATAACAAGGCAAACTTATCTATTTTCAAACCAGAACTGTTAAGCGATTCTACAGTACCATAATTCACTTTACATACCACCTCTTGGGAGCAACCTCACTGAAGTATTGTAATTCCTCAGCTGTTTCACACTTTTCATGTACGTGAGAGCATTAAACCAGCCAAAACTAGGTCAGTTCACAGTTTCATAGCCCAAATCAGAAACATGGACTCTACATTGCTTCTCTACATATATACCATCACATCCCATCTTGTCCAAATGCTTCTATGACTGCGGGTAGACATGGTACAGCAATGTTTCATTAACCGCGATCTGAAGACACCTACAGAGTCGGAAAAACCAAGTCGACCTCTTCCTCGGCAGGTTTAGTGGACCGCGATGAGAGTACATGCAGCTCTCCCTGGGAATTTTGGGTGTGTTCACTTCAAGGACAGATCGACTCTGAGGAGTTTGGGATTCCTGATTTCTACATCAAAGGTGAAGGTAAGCCCGGCTGCATTACTTATCACCTTGTCTCTGGTCTCGAGCAGTGGACAGGGCCTTACATGTCTCAAGAAGTGAGATTTTCCTTTAAACATATAGACTAGCTAACACGAAGAAATGGGTAGAGAGGAGTCAAAAATGCTACTGCGCCATGACTATTTAACTAATGTAGAATGAAGCATTAAAGG